TCTTTTAAAATACAAATAAGTTTGTATTATGGAAAGTACAGTGGAGGATATGAACAGAGTTGTATAACAGAAACTAGGAGGATGCTTTATCTTAGATGAAGTAAACAAAGAGGCCCTTTATGAAACTATTTAAGTGGAGGCTTGGAGGATGAGAATGAACTGCAAGACAACAGTGTTACAGATGGGGTTAAAGCAAAAACAGATTCCTTGAGATGGGAAAAGGCTTGACATGTTTGAGAATTCAGAGAGGCCAGTGTGGTGGTTTCATAGGAAAAAAGGGGAGGACTTCTATGAGAGAAGACTAGAAAGGTGGCCATGAGCCAGATACGCCACTGTAAGGAGGTTGGGAAGGGTTTCTCTAAGAAATGTGACCTGATGCTGTGTTAAGAATGCATCAGAATGAGGCATGGATGGAAGAAAGGAAGGGCACGACAACATGAGGACAGGTCTGGATGGATACGGTCTTCAGGAAGGTGCTTTAAAGAGATCCTTAGAGACACACCTTGTTCCATAGCATCTCCATTTCCTTCCGAAGCATCTTGTTTTTCCTTTCCTGTTGGGGAAGGAGACCAAACAAACAAAGACATGTGTTGTGCAGGCAATAAAGTGAGATTGGAAGAAATTTCTAAGTTAACGGTGATGGAGGAATCCAGGGACATAATAAACCACAGAGGAAGGCAGTAGTTAATGGGCCTACTAAAAATCCAGGGCTGCTAGAGAGGAATATGATGATGGTGGTTAAAAATAGTTGCTACTGGAAATAATAAATAAGATTATGAGGTATCAATAGGAATGAGTTCTAAATTCTAAGATGTTCTCATCATCTGAAAATATCTCTGGGGTTTAGATCAATATTTTATAATCTTTAAGGTTCTTTACATAGTTGATTTTTTAAAGATCTAAGATTTTGTAAGAGCAAACCACTTTCTTCTTTTACTTTGGTAGGTAGTTCCTAGGCTATAACAGTGTAAAGGGCTAAGAAGCTTATATTAACCACTAGATAGAAAGGTTTTTAAAAAGCCAAAGAAAGAGAATTCTTGTTGCTTGCTCTTGTTCTTTGCAACATTCCTTCTTTTTTGATCTTTTATTTATTTATTTGGTATAGGACCTCACTGTGTAGCTCAGACTTATAGTAAGCATGTGATACTGGGGATCGAACCTGGGTCCTTGAGCTTGCCAGGCAGGCACTTAGACCACAGAACTATCTCCTCAGCCCCCAACATTCTTTCTGAATCCCTTTGGATCATTCTGCACTTTCTATCTCAGAGAAATAGGAATAGTGGAGCATGAGGTACAGGAAATTGGCAGTCAGTCTTTCCTTGTGCTTCTGTCCCCAGCAGTGGGATTGAACCCTGCTCAGGGGTACCTACCAACCTCTTACCAGGTTCTGTTTCATCTCCTCTGCTTCATGAATGAGCTCCACGACTGAGGACTCATCACACTCTTTCCCTGCCATGATCTGCCTCATGATCTGCAGACTAAAGAAAGATATCATAAAACATAAAACCTTCTAAGTGCTAATATAAATTTTCTGAGTCCGTCAGAAAGTACTTTACCATGTAAGTTAGGTGGGGTCCAAAATCTTAGCACTTCTGGAAGTCTTCCTAAATGCAGAAGCTTGCTATGACTAGGACGATTCTACTCCCCATTGACATTTGCCATTGCCAAATGTTTATTAATGAATTCCATGCTTTTTAATATTCAAAACTTAGGTTCCCAACCACCAGTGAAATTCCTTTCTGCCCCCTCAAAGAATGTTGTGGTATATGACTTGGGGAGGAAGGAGTGATTCTCCTCTGTAAAGAGGAGGTTTTAAAAATCTGATGGTTTCAGGAGAAATCTTAGTTCTATTTCTAGCTTCTCCTACCCCCTCAAAGCTCCAAACAGACATGTGATTTTTGTTGGGGAAACTGTGCTCATCTTTGGTAGTGCCCAGAGACTGAAAACCATTAAGAAGTTTCTAACAAGATCTGAAACAATGTTAAGTCTTGTGAAAGAAGACATTCTTTACGCCCTTTCATTAGTTTATATTTTTGTTCCTTATCCTGTTTCCTCTCCAGCTCTAAGCAGAAAGCCAGGCCTTTGTGTTCTCTTGCCCCAAGAGAAGTCCGTGCTTCAGTTGTAAGGAGCAGGTGCTGGACTACAATTTGCTGTCTGGCTTGTGCTCCCCAATAGTCTGAATTCCTTTCGTTGCTTATCATGAGCCTGTATAAAGAGGGTGCACCAACTGAGGTGAGATTTTCTGAGACTAGAAGGAAACAGGGAGTAGATGGAACCCAAGAGCAGTGAGTATTCTAGCAAACAGTTAAGACCTCAGCAACCTCATATGATTACAGAAGGCTAGCATCAAAACAGACAGCTCCTAGGCTTAGAAAAATTCACTCTGCTACTGATTGATATAGAAGAATCAATCATTTATCCTAAAGTGATTCTACATGGACAAAGACAGGCACTTTTGTGACCATGATTGGCCAAAGTTATTAAAGACTCTCACCTGTTTCTTTGGGGGACACCAAGTGAGGAAGAATGAACAACTCTAGACTCATGACATAAGGGCTGAGTCGTGTTTAATTTTGTTAAAAGACAAAAAGGTAAAGGATTCACCTTAACCCTGATTGTGTTACTGATTCTTTGTATTCTACTGGAACTGAATACTCAAAATTAAAACCAAATCCCAAACAAAACGGTGTAAAGAATCATTGCTAAAATGTGGAGATTAAATTCTCCAGTTTTTCATCTCTAGCATATCTGAATAAGGAGTCCTTACCTTCTTTGCTTTTCCTCCAAATTAGACATTAACTTCTGGAATAAGAGGTTGTTCCTATCTCCTAGAGGTTTTAACATCTCTAGAAGTTCCTGCTTCCTTATCTTTAGGTCCTCATTTAGTTCCTTTAAGTAGTTGTCTATTTTAGAGCTTCTGTGGAAAGAGACACCATAATATCTGTCATTACTCTAGGATAATAAAGACGCTTTTCTCTCCCAGATAGTTGCCATTTGACTTCTTGCACTACAGACTCACTTTTTTGAGGGCACAAAAGATCCTGAAGAGTTTGCACCACTTGTCATCTTGAAGAGAAACTTTTCTATTCCAAGAATAAAGAGGCTTTCTTGAAAATATATACCTTCTTTGCCTATTCAGCTAAGACATCATTTTTGTGCTGCTGTTCTTCAAACCCCTGTTGCGCTGGACTGATTTTGGCAACAGTTTGATGTCACAATAGTCCTGAGCCTACAAAATCAACAGGTCTTGTTAAGTAGCAGCAGTGGTGATTGTTGGATGAAAAATACTTAGCTGCATCTAGTTAGTTCTTGTGTTAGCCTATTTCAGTGAATGGTCTTCTGAAGTCTTTGAGTGAATAGGATAGCATCTCAGTATATCTCCATTATGGAATTCCTATTATGTTAGAAAATGGTGACCTATCAAAAATACCTCATCAGCACCATGGCAACAGATCTCTGTAGAATGCCTGTGTGAACTACTGAATTCTGAGTGAGGAAAAGATAGACATAGGACAAGTTTATTGTGTGTGTATGTGGGGGCTGTTGATTAGGAGGAGGAGGAGGAAGAGATAATTCTAAGAGACATTTAAAAAATGATAGAAGCCAAACTGACAAAAGGTATGAATATAATAATGTAACATATGAGCCATTGTCATTTTCCCCTCTTTAAAATTTGATATGTCATAATGTTATGGTAAAAGGCCATTGGACATATAGCAAGAAGATGAAGATGAATTTTCTATCATACTATGCGTATGTCCTTCCATAACTGGACTCTTCCCCCAGAAGGCTGTAATCTAGGCTTACCTCCAGATTCTGATTATTTTCCTCTTTTTATAGATCCACACACCTTATGAACCCTAAGTTATCTCATCTTCATTGATATCAATGTCAGCGGGAGATAATGTGGTTATACATTTAGTTGTGTGTGCATATGGGCATGTCTAATAAGGTTAGTGTCTAACCTCTACTAATTAGCCTATACAGAAAAGCCCCCTTGCAGACAGTCTGTACAAAAACTTTTAATACAGTGTACATGTGCCACTTGAATGTTTGTGCAATACCTAGTGAACTCTGTTTTAAATAAGAAAAGCCATAACAGATCATTCATACTTCATCTTGGTCGCTGTAGGAATATCCATGAAAAGTTTGGATTGAATGAAGGTGAACAAACTCCTTGCAGCTGAAAGGACATACTGGGTACACTAATTATTATTAATAGCATCGTAGACTACACATATGACAGGTGGTAGCAAACAGCAAAGGACAAAAATGACATTGATCACTAAAGCATAGCCGCTTTAAATTTCATGTTGTGACATTTGGCAGACAGAACTATGAAAGAATTTTAAAAGATTTAATGGGCAGGCAGCATACTAACTCACCTTCCTTTTTGTCCTTGCTCATAAATGATTCAAAGAGGAAGAACACTTGCTAATCTTGTGTGGTCTTTTCTACCGTCAATCATTAGTTTTTATTTCCTAGTATTCTGATGTACATTTCTTCAGCCTGGAACATAAATTCCAAGGAGGATATTTTCCTTATAATAATGCACATAGACATTGTGTTGAAGAGCATTTGAAAACTCTAGTATTGGAGATAATTGATACGCAACATTAGCTTGGGTACAGAGAAGGCAGGGAAAAGTTGCAGATGACCATTAGCAGTGGCAAAGAGGAAAGTGAAATGCTAATTTTTCCTGAAGTAGAATGTGACACCATCTGTTGATGGGAAGGCACAAAACCTCAAAGGAGCAATGACCTGAGATTTGGAATTGCATCTGATCCATGGCACATGCAGTGCTAAGGGTCAATATGAGTTTGCAAATTGGTGATTTAGCATGTCCTGAGTCAGAAGCTACAGAATTTTCTCCAGTAGTAGTAGTTGGCAAACTAAAAACAGTAACTGAGAGGACAGATGGTTGACTCCAGGCTGGGTCTTGGCAGAAAAGACAAGCAGAAATCTCAAGTGAGTAAGGGGGCTGAGAGTACAGTGAGAGTAACCATCAAAAGGTTGATCATAGAGTTCAAGCTGTGTAGGGAAGAAAGTGGAAGAGGGAATAGCCTAAAAGAAGACACTGGAAAGGTACTGAGATTGTGGAGCTACGGGAGGACAGAGTAGAGGTTATAGTCAGTGAGCATACTTCTTAAGAAATGATTTGTGGAAATTAGTCACTAGAGGGTTAAGTTATAGTAGTAACCTTTTTCTGCAATAAACTTTGAACCTGTTGCTTCTTGGCAGTGCATGAAATGCACTGAAATTCATGTGATACCTCAAAATAGGCCTTCTACCAAGTTATTCACAATGACCTCATCCAACATTATAGCATTTGGTTTTAGTAACTGGTAAGAAAAAATGTGATTGCTCTATAATTAGAAAACTCAGAGCAATACCATTTTGGTGTTAGTTTTGCCAGCAGAAAATCAGAGTAGTGTAATTAACCCAGGCCTGTAAAAGTAGAGTCAATTATTTTCATATTAGCAGAGGAAGGGAAGGAGGGAGAAAGGAAGGGAGAGAGAGAGAGAGAGAGAGAGAGAGAGAGAGAGAGAGAGAGAGAG